TAACTCCAAGAGTGGTTCAGTACAGACGCTTGAGAGATACCACACATCTTCAACGTTCACCAACGACACGGTAACCTTCGACGTATCCAGTTCCTACCCTCACAAGACGCTTCAGCCTCGACAACGAGCAGACAGCCAGACTCCGGCCGCATCGAGCTTTCACGCTCTTGTTCCGCACTCAGCTCCTCGACTCCTCCCACATTCAGAGCACCACACTCTACACACTCACCCCGCATCCAAGCTGCTCTCTATCCTTGGCCTCACTCAGCTCTCTGCCCTTCTCCAGGCTGTCTCAACTACTACAACACTTCACTACATTGCTAGCCAACTGACTGCTGTAAATTAGGACTACACTAAATAAATATAAAAAAAACTATAAACTTTGTCTAGTCAAGCAAATACGTACACGTAAACATACGTTACACTGGACAGCAGAACATTTATGTTAATCTTCCTGAGATCAGTGAATAATGGTGTATATTACTATAAGAATTTGTTTGTTTGAATTGTTTGTTTTGAAAACACTTAATTGTATGGTGGGTGAGCAGTGGCAAAAATTGTTGTGGAAGGTCTGAATGTGACCTCTGGAATGCTGTTCCCTTTTGAATTCTAGCGACCCCTACTATAGCCTATGTTCATCCTGAACCCCAGACCCTTCCCTCTATGCTCTCTCCCCCTTTTCATTCTCTTCCATTCGCTCTCCATTCTATTCTCTCTCCCTTGTGTTCTTCTTAATCTCTCTCCCCCCCCTCCCTGTTGTTCTCTCCCTCCTGTTCTCACTCATTCTTACATTCCTGTTCTCTCGCCCTTCCATTCTATTTCCCTTCTGTTCTTTTAAATAAACAGAAGATTACAATTTTCTTTAAGTCAATATATGGTAGATATTATCAGTTAAACAAGTTGGTCAATAATGATGAGCACCATGAGATGGGAGAAGGGGTTGGGTGGGGAGGTTGGTCAGAGGAGAGACCGACCATACCGGGCTCTGCCAGTAACCCCTAGTACGTATAAATATAAATATATACTGTGAATATAAATTGTATGTGTTTAGATGTATAATAATTTTCATTGCATAATGAAGGATGTGCATATAATTGAATAAGGTAGGTTATCGTTGAGTCTGGCCAGTAACTGGACGGGTAATAACACAGGCAGCCTCACTGTTACGACCCTGGGTTCCTCAGTGGAAACCAGAGGTCAAAACTGAGCTAATAAACTGCCTTTTAGTATTGGAGAAGCATCACGAGGTGCACTTGTTTATATCCTCCCTGCCAGACGTAAGACTATTCTTGTTTCTCAAAGAGCATTTAAGACTGAGCTTGGGGTTGATTATTAAATAATAAAATGGGCACCAACTATGTTTACTAATACTTTCTAATCATTTGTAGAGTAAATCTGAGTAAACTTGGGATAGGATTGCTGTACGATTAGTTGAGTAGTCTGCTGGCAGCGAGTGAGCTGGGAAGGAGGAGACGCTCTCGCTTCTCTGCTGGCTGGCTGTGGTGAAAGGAACCACCTCCCCTTCCTCTCGTTTCTTTATTTCTGTGTCTTTGATACCCAGTTCAGTATACTGTGTAGCGTTCTCATTGTCTGGCATAGGCGTGTTCTAATGTGTAGAATATTATACCTTGTATGAATTAGGTGTTCCTAGTGTTGGTATTACTAGTTATTCTAAAAGGGGTCCAAGTGGAACCACTTGGTCTCCCTACCCTAAGCTGACTCAAGCTTCTAGCTCTTCACTAGTAGTACTTTACCCTAGCTTGTTCTGAGTGTAAACCTTGTATCCTGCTTATGTGGACCAAGGCTTTTAACGTAAGATAGTGTGGTAAAGTAATTATTATTGTTATTGGTGTGAATGTATGGGGGGTTGTTAAGGGGTTAATAAATAAGTAAGTTAGTAAAGGAGTATCCATTTTACCTGTGTAGGAGATCTATGATCAACCTCTAGGCTGACTATTGCTGTAATAAGCCACTACAAGTTATTTCTCTATATTTAGTGGGGGCTGGGCCTTTGAGATCTCCCATATTTGATAACTCTTAATGCTAACTACTGCCCCTGCACTCATGTTATACTATATCCCCCATAGTACAGACTCCCATATGTAACGCTCACCTTTGGCCTATAATGTATAACTGAATATGATTATCAGTTTCCATCATTGCAAGACTACTATAAGCGTTCCCACACCTACTTAAAGCAGCTCATTCATCAGCCTAAGATTATAATGATTAAGATTTTAAGGATGCTGCATGTGACGTCATCACTGCACTATAATTTATGTATGTAACCATACATATATGTTAGGTTCTTCATCATTAACTATAGCAACGGGTCTAGCCTGCAAACCACTTTTAACTTAAAGAAGTTTTGTGGTGTTGACTGATGAGGGGCGACGACGATTGGGGGAGCATTTTGTGTGGCGTCACCTTGTCTGCCTCAACAGGCTAATGCCAATACATAAAATTATCATTCATTATATCGTCTACATAAAAGGTCAATTAACGATTCTTCGCGGTGGGGATCGTATTCCAGGGACCTGCCCGAAACGCTACGCGTACTAGTGGTTGTACAAGAATGTAACAACTCTTGTATATATCTCAAAAAAAAAAAAAACTCCTAAGCACAAAAGTAGAGCCATCTCCCTCCTTCATTAATCTTCATATATTCATTTTTATTCACTGCTCTACTCTAATTTTCCTTTGATAGCAGTGTGAATTATATAAAGCAGTGTGTGGTGTTTTGTGCAATGAGACTCATTACAAAATGCCCATTCATCCATAATTTAATTTATTTCTAGAACAACAACAAATGCAGCATTGCTATTTTGCACGTTCCACCAAAGGAGGAGTAAAGGAATAATTTTCCTCGTCTGTACTATTTATAATTATTATTAGTCAAGCCCCAAAAAGGACAAATTAACGTCCCGCTTGAGATGTCACAAGACTGAGGACAGAGTGCACAAAAGCTGGACGTCTGTCACAGTAGACGGGTGTGGGGGCCACCACCACCACCCTCGGGACGGGAATGGAGGCCACCACCACCCACGGGACGGGTATGGGGTGCATAACAAATGACTAAATTAAAATTAACCCCGAATTCTTACAGCGATATTCACACATTACTGATCTTTGGCACTATATATTCTGATATAGTTAACATTTCATGAGTCAGGAGTCTGTAGTTGACTCACGTTGTGCCCTTATGACCCCTAGAGTCTTTTACCTCTTCGACTCGTACTGACGTAATGGAAGATCAACACTGAGTACTGACCAAACCACACACTAGAAAGTGAAGGGACGACGACGTTTCGGTCCGTCTTGGACCATTCTCGAGTCGATTGTGAAAGCACTGAGTGCTTTCTTGCTCTTTGCATTTACCATTTATCCATTGATAAAATTCTTGTTGAATTTGACTTTTGGATATTCCTCATTTTTACCTGGACTTTGTCTGAGAGCCACTAACACTAGTGGCTTCGACGAGGGCAGGAAGCTGGCGGCTTGTCGAAGGTCCCTTCATTTGCCATGATGATCTTTTGCAGCTGTTCTTTAATCAAAAGTTACCAGAGTATTTCCATTTATGGCTTCGGCGGGTAGGTGGTTCCATGGGCTTATAACCCTGTGGGTGAAAAAGCCTCTCCTGTTCTCAGTCCTTCATTGTGGCTTGTTGAGCTTGAAACCTTTTCTCCTTGTTTGTGTAATGTCTGACCTCATGAAGAAATTTTCCGGATCATCCTCCAAATTGTTCAGTATCTTAAAAGTTTCAATAAGGTACGCCCTGTCATGCCTAGTTTGCAGTGTCGTTAGCCTTGTGGCCCTCAACCGTTTCTGATACGAGAGTTGACTTAGCTCAGGAATGATTTTGGTTGCCCGGTGTTGAACTTTCTCCATCTCGATAATACTATACCTAAAAGCATAACCATTAAATGATTTCCGAGCCCATATTGACATCATGCACCCCCTTGACTCCCTCTGGGATTGAACGATCCTGGGCTGCCGAAGTTGCAGGCTTGCAAAGTATATATTCTGCGACTACGTAATGGAAGGCCGTGAGGACCGCTTGTTTCCATTACTACCATATTCAAGCATATCATGTATGCAGTTCTTTCATTCTGTTAATGCTGGGGCCTTGTGGGATTTAAAAAATTTAATTTAAAAAATCGAATGGTCCCTAAGCTCATATTTACAGCACTAACGCTCTTGACCTTTCAAGGATTTTAATCTGGCCCGCCAGAGCGATATGGAAAACGTTATGGACAGTACTGAGGCCACGCTGCAGCTGTTACTGAACTGCGCCATCAGCAGCGAAGGTACCAATTCTGTAAACAGGAGTTCGGGGACCATTAGCGTTTCTACACACAGTTTGGCACCCTACGCAGTATCGTCACGAATCGGTGAAATATCTGTAGACATCTTTGTAAAAGAATAGGAAAAGTAATGGATATATTTTGGTCTCCCTGGAAAATATGTATGAATGGTAATAACCCTGAAAGATGCAAGCTTGGCAATAGCTCTGGAAAGATGAAAGCGTGGCAATAGCTCTGGAAATATGCATACCATAGGTACAAACTGCAGAGGCATCAGATAATTAGACCAGATTTCAAGTTAGAACATGAAACAACTCACCTGGAAAGTACTTGTAGCACACCTCTCCATGTTGATCCTTCGGTGGTGTTTGATGACGTATACTGGATAGTTTTGTGACTCACCTGGAGAGCATAATAAACTGTCTAGCGATCTTGATGAACTACTCTGGATTCCTAGCAGTCGACCTGGGGACCACGGTGACCTACCTGGGACTCGCCTACCTGGCGAGTAGGGAAGCCCTACTTCCCTACTCGCCAGGGAAGCTTATGACTCCTAAAGATCACGTGACTCGTCTGGCGATCTTAGTGACCCACTTGGGGATCATATGACTCATCTAAGGAAGATTTGACCCACCTGAAGATGAGTGTGACTCACTTAGGGAAGATGTGAGCCACTTGGGGAGAGTGATAACTCACCTGGGAGGCCTGGTGTGGTCTGCGGCAGGAGGGCTGGGCGCGGCTGGGTGCAGGGTCAGGGTCGAGCCTCGCGGGGAGGAGGTGTTGGAGTACCCACTGTCCGACCTGTCGGGAGTGATGGTGGTGGGTCCTTGGCTGACACCTCGCCTCTAACACACACACACACACACACACACACACACACACACACACACACACACACACACACACACACACACACACACATACATTTGTTTCAGAATTATATGAACATATAATTATATGAACATGTTTGCTGACGATGCTAAGATAATAGGAAGGATCAGAAACTTAGATGATTGTCATGCCCTTCAAGATGACCTGGACAAAATAAGTATATGAAATACCACTTGGCAAATGGAATTTAATGTTAATAAATGCCATGTTATGGAATGTGGAATAGGAGAACATAGACCCCACACAACCTATATATTATGTGAGAAATCTTTAAAGAATTCTGATAAAGAAAGAGATCTAGGGGTGGTTATAGATAGAAAACTATCACCTGAGGACCACATTAAGAATATTGTGCGAGGAGCCTATGCCACGCTTTCTAACTTCAGAATTGCTTTTAAATACATGGATGGCGATATACTAAAGAAATTTTTCACGACTTTTGTTAAGCCAAAGCTAGAATATGCAGCGGTTGTATGGTGCCCATATCTTAAGAAGCACATCAACAAACTGGAAAAGGTGCAAAGACATGCTACTAAGTGGATCCCAGAACTGAAGGGCAAGAGCTACGAGAGGTTAGAGGCATTAAATATGCCAAAACTAGAAGACAGACGAAAAAGGGGTGATATGATCACTACATACAAAATAGTAACAGGAATTGATAAAATCGATAGGTAAGATTTCCTGAGTCCTGGAACTTTAAGAACAAGAGGTCATAGATTTAAACTAGCTAAACACAGATGCCGAAGAAATATAAGAAAATTCACTTTCACAAACAGAGTGGTAGAATCATTATCTTTGATAATGATTTCCTTTTAATGATTCCATGCTTGTGTCTTTTGATCTCTGGCCTTCTCGTAATTTCTGTTGAACCAACCCTGTTTCCTAGGTCTGCATCTCTGTTTTGGTATGAATGTTTGTGTGCCTACATCGTATATTTCCCAAAATATGGCATACATCTCATTTACTTCTTTGCCTAGCAACTAGTCTATCCAACTATGCCTATGAAAAAAAATCTAAGTTCCCAATAGCGTCCTCTCTTGAAATCGAGTTTAACAACTGTATTAATGTCCACATTCTCTACTAGATTATATCGCATAGCGTATTTAATATCCAAGAGGACGTTGTGTGTGTGTGTGTGTGTGAAATGTAGATATGATGGAGAAAAATAGGCTAGAAATGGAGGGATTCAAGAGATAATAGCTGGATCGTGGAGGCACACGTAGTAAATACACACACACACACACACACACACACACACACACACACACACACACACACACACACACACACACACACACACACACAGAACTCTATTGCTGGTTACCTCATCGTTAACTCCGAAGAGAAGACCAGCCAACTCATGAAATGCAATTAAGTTAACTTAATGTTGAGGATCATGACTAAGAGCACAGCCCACATACTCCACCGTTATGGTAAGATCTTATCATTTCTCAAGACTAATATGGTGGCAAAAGTTCATATTCATTAACCATAACCGAGACAACATGGAGGAGAAAAAAGTTGTGAAAGAATGATAGTTGAAGACTTTTCAGATTATGAAGTTCAACAAAAGCGAATTGTGAAGTTTTGTATAAGGATGAGTTAGAAGAGACCGAACATAGGCTCAGGCACTCATGAGTCAGATAAGAAACAAGGCTATATATAAGCATTATGAGTAAGAAAACTCGCAGATAAGGAAACACAACTTAGATAAGAGAGTCTGATTGTGATAGTTGCTCCTGCAAGCTGTACGATGCTCCACCGCCTCCGTCAGCACATATGCCTCATGCCTCATGTACAGCCATGTGGAGAGGTAATACTATGCGAATACTACAAATGACTGCCCTCATCTCAGGAAATTATCGCCCATGTATATACAAGAGTGAATTCAAGACGATATAGGCCTAAGTAGCAGACCAACCTGGTTATAGTGGGAATGTGGGCCCGTTGGAGCAAGTAACCACAAGTCCAGCCTGGCCCCGGGTCGGACTTGAGGAGTAGAACAACTCCCAGAATCTTCTGCAGGTATACTCCAGGCATGGAACTCTACCCAAGAAGGATAGTAGCAGTGTTTCACCCCTGCTGCAGTGTTTCTTAATACTGGAGATAACAGGGCTTCCATACCATAGACGTGTTTAAGTCAAGACTTAGTTCAGGCTTGTCATAGTTCGGGCTGGTGTGTACAGCACTTGACGCACTCACATAGTATTGTGAGTTATTGTAGTTGTAGAAGACTAATTACTGCATATCGTGAACTTCAGTTTAGCCTCTAATATTGGTTTTAATTTGTTATAATGGTTATCTTATGGTAGTTATCAAAGGACAGTAGAACTTAGTAGTAGGGATCCTGCAGTCTCGGGAGACTTTGGAGTTGCGCTCTGGTTGTCGAGGCTGGAGTGTCTTCTCCAGGGCGCAAAACCAGTGTAGGTTGATATGAAGGAGAAGCTGTTACCCATGCAGCAGGTCCCCCCCCTCTCCACGTTGCTGAAATTGTCCAATGGGAAGGCAAACGCCAATATGCTTGTTTCCAGCACTGTCGCAGGAGCTGCCAGAACGAGGTCGAAGTCGACAACGAACTACCTTAGGGGCTCCAGCTCCGGATTTTTCCTCGAGGTTGACTCCAGGAGTCCGTCCCAAAAGTGGGTTCGCCGCGAGGCAGCGGAGGTTTGAGATCAGGGTTTTCCTTCCCCTAGATGAGCAGCTGCCTTGCCGGGAGGGCTGTCGAGTCCCATCTTCCCGGAGCAGGTGGTTGTAAGGCGCCAGAGGCACGAGCTCATGCACGAGGACCTAAAGGGCCGCCCCTGGTGCTGCTGCAGCAGGCTGGTGGCCTCGCTGAGGGCCCTGCACAGCCTCTCGGGGGAGGTCTGGGTGTCCTCCGGGCACTACCACACACAACACTCAACTCAAATATTATAATAATAATAATATCATTATTATAATAATATTATAATATTATATATTTTATTATAATAACATACATTATGACTTATAATAATACACATATATTAAGTCATAATGTATGTTATTATAATAAAATATATAATATTACAATATTAATATTATAATAATATAGATGATATTATTATTATAATAATATTTGAGTTGTGTGGTTGTTGTGTGTTGTGTATCCTTCCCTAACTCCTTCCCCAACCAACACACACACACACGTTCTCGACTTAGAATCGGGAATTCCGGGTTCGAATCCAGGGAGGGACAGAAATGGTTGGGCGCGTTTCCTATCACTTAATGCTCTGTTCACCTGGCAGTAAATTGGTACCCAGAAGTTAGTCAGCTTGTTGTGGGGCTGCGTCCTGGGGAGCGTCAGTAATTCGACCGTGGGGAAGGGGGCTCCATATAAGTCTAAGATGTATATATTCACTGGCTGCCTGTCCCCCGATACAATTATTACACACACACACACACACACACACACACACACAGAAGGGTGAACAGACTGCATATTTTTGGATTGTCAGAAAGCCTTTGATACAGTGCCACACAAGAGGCTAGTGAAAAAGCTGGAGATGCAGGCTGGAGTGAAAGGGAAGGTACTCCATTGGATAAAGGAGTACCTAAGCAACAGGAGACAACGAGTCAGTGTGAGAGGTGAGGTCTGAGTGGCGAGACGTTACAAGTGGAGTCCCGCAGGGGTCAGTCCTTGGACCTATACTGTTTCTGGTATATGTAAATGATCTCCCAGAGGGTACAGAATCGTTTCTCTCAATGTTTGCCGATGATGCAAAAATTATGAGGATTGAAACTGAGGACGATAGTAGGAGGCTACAAGATGACCTAGACAGACTGAGTGAATGGTCCAACAAATGGCTGTTGAGTTCAACCCGAGTAAATGCAAAGTTATGAAATTAGGCAGTGGAAACAGGAGGCCAGACACAGGATACAGAATGGGAGATGAAGTACTTAATGAAACGGACAGAGAGAGAAAGATCTAGGAGTTGATATCACACCAAACCTGTCTCCGGAAGCCTACATAAAAAGATTAACGTCTGCGGCATATGCGAGGCTGGCTAACATCAGAACAGCGTTCAGGAACCTGTGTAAGGAATCATTCAGAATCTTGTATACCACATATGTAAGACCAATCCTGGAGTATGCGGCCCCAGCATGGAGCCCGTACCTTGTCAAGCACAAGACGAAGCTGGAAAAAGTCCAAAGGTATGCCACTAGACTAGTCCCAGAACTAAGAGGCATGAGTTACGAGGAAAGGCTGCGGGAAATGCACCTTACGACACTGGAAGACAGAAGAGTAAGGGGAGACATGATCACAACCTACAAAATCCTCAGGGGAATCGACCGGGTAGTCAAGGATAAACTATTCAACACTGGTGGTACGCGAACAAGGGGACACAGGTGGAAACTGAGTACCCACATGAACCACAGGGACGTTAGAAGGAACTTTTTCAGTGTCAGAGTAGTTAACGGATGGAATGCATTAGGCAGTGATGTGGTGGAGGCTGACTCCATACACAGTTTTAAATGTAGATATGATAGAGCCCAGTAGGCTCAGGAATCTGTACACCAGTTGATTGACAGTTGAGAGGCGGGACCAAAGAGCCAGAGCTCAACCCCCGCAAGTACAACTAGGTGAGTACACACAAAGAATAACAAAGATGGCCGCCACCACGGGGAAGGTAAACACGTCAACAGATGAATGTTTCGAGGGATTCTCACCACAAGATATACAGAAATGAGGTTTTCTTGGCAGGTTAGAGAGTAACGAGGACACGCAAAAGAAGTATGAATAAAAAGTACTTGAATTAGAAGAAGAAAATGGAGTTCTCAGGGGTGAGTTTCGCACTCTAAAAGGAAGTATTCTTCAGCAAGGTAAGAAAATTACCGCCTTAACCGACAGGTAAGGACACAGCAGGAACAACCCAAGGAACTAGTGAAAG